ACCAGCACTAGTATCACAAATCAAAGCAAAAAAAAAAAAGTGTAGATTTGGAGTGAAGAATAGTATTAAACGAACAATTGGCACATAAGAGGCTTACAATAATTGAAAAATATTTATTATTTTTATTGTAAATTTCATTAAGAATTCTTACAACAGTTTTTCTCATGATTACAACTTTAAACAGAGTAATAAAAAAAATTAGAAGATAGGAAACCAAGAACTAGATTAGTATTTTTTTCATTAACTATAGATGTTTTACTACTTTTTTAGGTGTCTGACTTATATATGTGTAAATCTGGGGGTGTATATGGATACATATGTATAATAATTGAAAAACATTTGTCCATCTACTAATTTATAGCTATCCCACATATAAAAGTAAAGAGCAGGAATAAGGTAAAACTGTTTAGTGATCTATGTTTATATATTTTTGCATAATTAGAGTAACCACTACGTATTTGCTAATTAAGTTTTTTCCTTCTCTTTTAAAAGACTAATTTTTTTTATTTGTCAACATAAGAACTGGGGTATAGGCCAGAGGTTCAGGCGATGGAGGTTGGTAGTAAGAGAACTCAGCAGAGACAGAGTGGGGAGCAGAACAGGCAAATTGACTGAAATACACTGCTGAGGGGAGCAGTTGGCGGAACAGGAGAAATCTGCTGTGCCATGTGGCTCATCTCCCTGGCCAGGGATTGAATTCATGTTGCAGTGGCTGTGAGTTGCTTCAGAGTGCTGTACTTGAACCCGCTGTGCCACCAGGGAGGGCCCAACTGTTAATCTTGATAAATAAGCTCATAGCCTTATCTTCATGGAATAGCTATTTTCTGAAGCAAATAGGCAAATTCTCTTTGCTAGGTCTCAGAATTGTTTACTATAGGGTTAAGAAAGACAATAGCCTAACAGGTGTGATCTTGGTTTCAGTTATCACCTGTGTGCCCTCACTAACATAGAAGCTCCATAAGAGCAGTTATATTTCTATTTATTGTTTGCTTTTGTATCCCAGCATCCACAAATTCAACAAATAGTCAGTGTTCAGTAAATATTTGGTAATGGATCTTAATTAGTAAAATACAATAGTCAGGACCATTTTGAAAAGTGAGGAGAGATGACCTAGCAGTTAAAAAATGTTCTACAGTGGTGTAACCATTAACACAGTGTAATACCTGACGGTAAACATATAGATCCATTGAACAGAATAGAAAATCCAGAAATACATACACATATTTGCTTTTCATTCTCCTTTAAGAGTGACCCTTTTCAAATATATATGTGTGTGTGTATATATATATATATGTATATATATATATACACACACACATACACACATATATATACACATATATATGTATATATATTTAAAGCAGAGGGATTTGTCTAACAATAGCTTCGCTGTCAGTGAGTCCCTGGATATTTCTGCACTCTTTTGTATTGCTCGCAACTTGGAACTCAGCTGTACTTTCCTTCTTCACCAATGTTGACATCTCTACAAGGACTTCTATAGAGGGTTAGACAAGAGTAATATAGGGCAGGCCTAGCTTCCCTTTATAAACTGGCCGTTTTTTCCATTTACAATTATATATGTCTGTGTGTTGATGAGGCAAAGCTGAGTTTATTAGCTGTCCTGCTAAGGAAATAAAGTATTCGCCTGCATAAGCAATCTATCTATTAAGGTCACAGCCTATCTTCCATGACAAGTGGAGCAAAAAAACAATTGTGAGGCCTTGAATTGTTTAACATAAATATAGGAAAGTATGTCTAATGCTACTATAACTTAATGTAGAAACAATTACGCTGGCTTTAGTTTTCAATGCTAAACTAATATCAATTTCCATTTTAGGAATTTTATTCTATGATTTTAAAAAGATAAATATATGAAGTGTAACTATAAAGACAGTACTATTTTAAAAAATCAGAAAACTCAAAAGATCAGAAAAAATATAGGCATTCATAAAATAAATTACAATGTTGCCATGAAAAAGTATATTTTGTTCTTATTGACATATCTACATATGGAACTAAATCTACAAGTCCATGAAACTAAGGAATACCTTGTTATTTAATGCATGGAACCTAAACTATGACACACCGTGATGAAATTATCAAGCGTTCATGACAAAGAAAGAATATTGAAGGTGACTGGGACCAAGCAGGTAACTCATAAAAGTACATACATCAGACTTACTAGGAAGTATACAGGCAAAGAAAGAATGGAATGATGTATTCAAACTACTCAAAGACAAATCTGCCAGCCAAGAATAACATAGCTCACAAAATTCTTTTTCAGGTATGAGGGAGAAATAAAGACCTTTCCAGAAAAAAAGAAGTTGAAGGAATTTGCCAAAATAGTCCCCTCCTATAAGAAATTTTTTTTAGCTTTTAAAAAAAAATTTTTATAATAGTTTATTTTTACATATTTTTGTGCATTTTTCCATTTCAGTTGTGATCCCCTTGGGTTTCCCATCACCAAATCACCCATGTGCCATCACCATAGTCCAATACATTTCCCTCCCCCCACTGTTTTTGATCCCATTCCCTACTCCGCCCCCAGAAAATGTCTCTGGTATATAGCTGTTCATCATTACCATTGTTTTCTCGCCTGTTCTGTTATATTACTGCTATGAGAGAAACCATCCTCCTATAAGATATTTTGACAACTTCTGCTATCTAAAATAAAGAGAAGTTGTAAAAATGTTGAGAATTTGCACAGGTTGGTAGGTGAGTGACTTTTACAATGTCACTGACATTGGAATGACGCTTATTGATTGAGATATGAGGGTAGTTGAGATAGAACATAAGATATCAATTAAAAAAAATTTTTCGGCCCTCCCTGGTGGCGCAGCAGGTTAAAGCACAGCACTGAGAATCTAAAGCAGCCTCCGCATGAGTTCGATTCCCGCCTGCCCTGGAGGTGACCACATGGCTTGGCAGACCTCTCCTGACCCGCCCACTGCTCCCCTCAGCAGTGTACTTCGTCCATCTGCCTGTTCTGTTCCCCACTCTGTCTCTGGTGAAGCCTCTCACCACCCCTGAGCCTCTGGCCTGTACCCCAGTTCTGTATGCACAAATAAATCTTTAAAAAAAAAAATTTCTTTTAGACCTTCCCTGGTGGCGCCACATGTTAAAGCATAGAAGTATGAGGCTGTCTGCAGCCACTGCAGCATGAGTTTGATCCTGGCTCAGGTTACCCACATGGCACAGCAGACCTCCCCTAACCCACTTGCTATTCTCCTCTGCAGGGTATTTCAATAGATCTGCCAGTTCTGCTTCCTACTCTGTCTCTGGTGAATCCTCTCACCCCCTCAACTCCACACCTCTGGTCTGGGCCCCAGTTTTTATATGAACAGATAAATAAATCTTTAAACAATACAACAACTTCTTTTTTATTAAGACTGAAAAACAGACATACAAAAGGTAAGGACAGGTAGAAACCTGGTTGTACTGAAAGACCTCCCCTAAATTAGTTATCTGATGATCCTGATAATATGGGACAGAAGTGGTATAATTATAGGCACTGAATTTAAGCCAGTTTGAGAAGCTGTGGATTTCATATCTGAAATCCTGAAGCCTCCAGGTTTTAGTAAAAGCTGCTGAAGATTGTCTAAGAAGTGACAGATCTCTTTCTGCAGGTGAATGCAAGGAATTCTTCAAACAAACTTCAGCTGTTCTATATTGACAGTTTCTGACCCTTGCCAAGAGGTTCATCACCTTGCCCCTTTCACTGTCAATTTAATTGTGTGCTTATAATATTATATGTGATTTCCCCCAGTTAATTCATATTTTGGTTATATGCACTTGGTTTGTACTCTAAGTGAAACTTTTCCACCCTGGTGGAAATTAGCACTTTTGAGGTGTGAACCTGATAAAACAGTGACTTGTTTTAGGCCACAGCAAAGACCCTGATGACAAGTGTCAGGACATGAGGCAGTCAGAATAGGAGACTTAGAGGAAGTAAGTAGGGCCTCATGATTCTCAGATGTAAGAATTGATAAGCTTGAAAAAAAGAAAGATGCTTGAATTTTGTCATTTGGGTGCTAAGAGATTAGAAGTTTTATAATAGAGGAGCAGTTTGGGGTAGAGTGAGAAGTTGAGAATGATAATTAAGTTTTAGACATGCTGAATTTAACTTTACCAGACATTAAATGGTAATGTTCAAATGGGATTTAAAATTCAAACCAGAGCTCAGCTTACAATATTATGATCTAATATTGGACACAAAGTGGACACAAAGAATTGAAAAATGTGGTCCTATAGTTCACACTTATAGGAATGAATGCCCTCAACAAGGGCATTTATATGGTAAAATGTGAAGGTTAAGGGCAGAATTGGGGAAATACTACTTTGAGGGCTAGAAGGGGATCATGGTTCTCTGAACAAAAAAGCTAGAGAACTGGAGAAATGGTGAATTTAATCATGCAGAAGGGAAATCTGAGGATCACAGTGTAAGTAAGTAAGTAAATTCAAGTGGTCTAGCTTTTGGAAATGAGGTCATTGTTGACTTTGGATGCTGTTTTGATGAAGTGGAGTGGATGGATGGACTAGCATCTCAGAAGAACTGGCTAAAAGGGAAGTGGATTACAGAGACTCTTCACATTAGTTTTTTTAAGCAAGCAAAATGCAGCAGAGAATTGACTTCTAACAGAAAACCAGAAAATTTTCAAGTATTTGAAAACAGTCAGATTTATTGTGCAGTTATTAAAATGTTATTAAATGTTTCACCTTTTATTAGCTTTATTGCTTGATAAATATGACCTAAAAGGCCCGCTGTTTTCTGAGTTCCACTTACTTCTCCAGCCACATTTCCTCTTTCCTATTGCCTTTCACCCCTCTAGCGCTTCTGACAGTTTCTCAGATTCCTTATCTTGTTTCTTGTGCTGGGGTTTGTAGCTTCCATGTCTTCCTAATATATGTGAGCTTGGTGAATCTATAATACTTTGCTCAAATTTCCCTTAAAAGATTTTGAATTTGCTCAGGGTTGACACTCACACTTGTCTCTCTCTCAGGTCCTTGCTACCAAGATGTCCAGCAGAAGAAGGATCAGCAAAAAGGATTGGGACCATTTAAAGCCTACTCAGTGCAGATTGCAACCCTGGTGTGTTTGTGGCCAACACTATCAAGGAGTTCGTCATTAGAAACATGGTGGAGTCTCTAGTCATCAGGCCAGTTTGCAAGTGCCTGATGAAGTGTATGAGCTTCCCAAATTGTATTGTGTATTGTGCCTTTCACAGCAAGGCAGACAGGAAGTTCTCCTCAAACCTCCTGAAAGACCAAGCCCTTTCTCCCCCCCAATTTAGACCTCTGGGTAATGCCCCATGACTTCTGCCAAAGCCCATGTGAAGGAGCTAAGATCCCAAGGACAGAAGAAAAATTATCCTCTGGGGAAAAATAAAATAGAAATTTTACTTTATGTAGCATGTTTGTATTGTTGCCAGAGAGAATGGGGGTTGTGTATGCCATATGGATTGTGATTACTTTATACAACACAGTCTTTTTAAGGGGGAGACAGCTTGTCCATGAAAAATAACCTTGAATTTCTGAAAACAAAACCAAAATAATTTCTTCTTTTTCCCACTGGGCCATATTATGTATCACCTAGCTCCAAGCTGCGAATATAGTCTATGTTCAATAAATGCAGAATGAACTAATAAATGAAAAGTGCAAGTTTTTATGTTATACCCATTTTTCACTAAATTTTAATACTTTTGTTAAAACATAAATAAGAAAATTTATAAATACCATTTCATATTTGTAAAGTAAAAAAGCCCTAATCTCAGTAGTCTGCTGTAGTTTTCCATTTCAGCTGTAAATGTTAGGTTGGGCTATTTTTTCCTTTCCATTTAAAGCTCTTTCCTTTGAAGTAATTACTCTCTATTGGCTAAATTATTAGGAAGTGGGATGGGTCTTCTTTTTTTAATCTAAATGACTAGACTGAAACCAATTAAATTCTCACTACTACTGGAATCAAGGCTTTTATTTTGTTTATATTTTATTGAAGTAATATTGCAGTATTACATTATGTAAGTTTCAGCTGAGCACTATTGACCCCAACAAGTGTATATACAACACTAGGTTCACCGCTAAAATAGGGTAGGAGAGGCGGTTTTTGTCTCTATTTACATTTGCATTTATGACCGTTGGCGCTCCCTAGGGAGGCAGGGTAAAGCCCGCCCCTACACCTGGTTTTAGGTTGATTATGATCATAGGATTTTAACATAAAAGGTTCATTTTGTATTAAACACCTTTTGGGGGGCGGGGGTTGAGGAGGAGATGTTGTTGAAACTATACTCAATCAAAATTCCGCCAATTTGCATTGCTCTTTGGGGAATAGGCTTTCAAAATCGAAGGAACAAAAAAGGATTTGACTTTCCAACCTCCCTGCGTCGGCAGCAGGTTGTGCAGTAGCTACCGGGAGAAACCAGAGTATAAATTATCAAGGAGAGGGGGCACGTGTGTGTCTCTCTGTGTCTCTCCCTCGTGTGTGTGTTCAGGAGGTGGGGGAAAGGCGGGGGTAAGTAGGAGCGATGGGGCACATGCTAAATCTCCTAGGACTTTTCTGCGAGGTGCCCCTTACGTAATATTTATAACGAAAGGCGCTGCATCAGCATGAGCACACTGACCAGCTTTATAACCTCCCGGTTTACTACCTAAACTGGAATACAATGGGGATAGGAGGAGGGGACCTGAAGCGCCCAGCAGGTGGACCGTGATCTAACCCGCGGGAAACCAGCCTCTCGTGCTGAAGTCCCGCTCAGCCAATTTCCTCTGGCTTCGGTACCAGTCCGCAGACCCGCACTGGTCCTAAGGATCATCAGAAGAGTTTAATAATATAGGATCCGAGATCTGCTCTCTTAATATTTTTAGGGAGGGGGGGGACGAAGGTTAGGGTGCAGAAATCTGCATTTAAAAAACGATATATTTCACTTGTTACACTTGTTATTTGTTTACACTTGTTATTTGTTTACTTGCTAAATTAATAAATTGATTGCCTTTGCAACGATGTCAGGTTACGTAATTACAGTTCAATACTGTCTGTATTCATTTCACTGTGTATGAGATCACGATCGATGATTAATACAAGTTGCAAGTTCGTACCTTTAAACATCAATCTTATCTCCCTACAGCCCTACCCCCTGCAGTTTGACTTTTTTAGATTCCACATACACGTGATTAGAAATGTGCATTTTCAGTAGCTTTCCGGGCATTCTGAGACAAAGAGTAAGGGCCCTCACCCTGAGAACACCACCCCGGAGAGTCGCGGGGGAAAGCGTTCTCCAGCGAGGAGCGCGCGCGCCTGGCGCCGAACCGCGCACGGTCGCGAGCCCGCCGCTCCCCAGCAACGGCGCATGCGTACGCCAGCCTTCCAGTGGAGCCGCGCAGCTTCGCGGGCCGGGCTCTTCCAATCGGAGCCCGGCGTTCTCCGTGTGCGTATCCCGGAGCTGCGGGCTTTGGGGCGGGAGGTAAGGGGCCTGGGGAAGGCGGGGCGGAGCCGTAAGGCCCGCGACTGTCTGCCAAAGTCTGCGGGGGAAGTCGAGTCTTCCCAGCTTCCGGAAGTGGCCGTTGTAAAGTTCACCTCCCAGTGTTTTGTCCCCACGAGTCCCACTTGCTATTTGTTTCCCCCTCTGGGTCCTAGAGTCCGTCAAGTTTCAACAGTTTTTGTTTACTCCCCTCCCCCGCGCCTACTGCAGTCAACCTGGGCCTTTTTCTACCCTGATTTGAAGCTACCCCTGGGGTGTTGGGTGTGCGGTCTGGACTACCGGAGCCCCTTGAGGTAACCACGGGATGTGGGGCTTCGAAGCACCCTAAACTTGAGCGGGGCAGTGTTGAGGAGAGGGATGGGAGTGCTGCGGTGAGCACTGTGAGGGATCCCGACGTAGTTTGGGGGTGTTCCTTTCGTCTGTGGGGATACGCCTCCAAGATCTTGGGCTGGGCCTTTCCGCCTCCCGGGAGGAAGAGTGTGCTATAGCATCCTAGCTCGAGACCGCGGTACTGTGCCCTGAGGCTTGAGTAGGACCTGGGACCAGGGCCCGGACCGCTGAGCTTGCAGCTGCTTTAGTTTACAGTTTTAGTTTAGCCCGACTGCCGGGCTTTCTCGCTCCTGAACTGTCAGTATTTAAGAGGACAAGGACCATTTCCTTTTTTCATTTTAGGGAAAAAAAAAAATCCAGGTGCCCACTAGCTACTCAGTTTTGATAAAGAATGAGTTGTGCTAGTCTGCATTCTGTAGCTTCAACTGCTTACCCTCCGGTACTCTTAAGAGATTTAGGAAAGTTGAGTTTTTCTGAGGCTGTAAATGTTCTGCAGAAGTGGAGCCTTTTATTCCAGTGATATTCATTGTAAACTAGGACATAATTATTCGTTCTGAGACTATCTCAAATGACATTGCGTATTTTAACTCAAGGAACAGTTTCAGGTGGTGGGTGTCCCATTCTTTAGAATACATGGCATACAGATGCTTTATAATTCTCACAATCTTGACAGAAGCCTCGCATGTCACTTATTGAACAACTAGTTAGTGCCTACGAGCAACAAAACAATGGTAGAGCAGGAAATGGTTTTCTTGAACTGAAGGGTCTACAAAGGCAGTGCAACCTGCTAAGAGGAAGGATGAAGTAGTTTCAGTCTGGAGCTTGCTGGATTAGTCTTAGTTCATATATCAGCTATCAATTTAGCCAAATCACCTAAGCTCCCTAGGCATTAGAATCTTTATCTTTCAAATTAGGGGGAGAATTTGGTCTCTAAAGTCCCATTTATCTCTGAAATCCTGCCTCAGTCTCTTTGTCTTGGTTTTGGTTCCATGAAAGAGCCCAACAACCCATTTAAGGCTGAAAAAAAAAAAGTGTAGACAGATACCCCGAAAACAGATGTAGATAACTGTTGGAGACCACAGGGTTTTTTCAAAGAGTGATCCAGATGCGCATTTGAATTCTTAGCCTCCTGGTGGATATCTTACACAACTTACTCAGGCTGTCCTCTGTGAAAGGTACATAATTATCTCATAGGGTTATGGGAGGATTTAATGAGATGGTGTGTGCTTAGCTAGTACCTGGCATGAAGTAAGTACTCAATAACAGTTATTTTTATCTTTTCATTGCCCCACAACTCTTCCTGTCTCCTGGTCTGTGCAGACACACAGAATGAATCCATTCTGAGGAACCCCACTTCCTCAGAAGTGAGGAAGGGGCACTGTACTAGTAGTGCTTAGAAATCTGAAGTAGAATGATTTTTCAGTCCAGCACTTACTATCAGGATGTCCAGATTAATTGTCCCAACATCTATTCTAAAAAAACTTTCCTCTGAAGAATATTATACATTATCATCCCCTCAGCTATTTTAGTCGGTTTGGTGAGAATAGTACAATTTCGCTACCAAGAGCAGATTCATCTATTAACACCTTAACACTCGATTTAATCCATTTGATTTAATTATACTTTATCCATCACTGCTACATGATGGCCTGGTTTTCGTCCAAGTCTGTGGCTGTGCCAGCAAAGCTGATAATCCACTGGAGGATGAGTCATTTTTCACTAAATCGACCCTGATTTGTACTTAATTTGGATGTGGGAAATAATCTGTGTTGGAGATATCCGCAGTAGGGAACAGAAAAGCTTCCCTTACGAGCATATCTCACTCACATACCCCTTAAGTGAGGTGAATCATGCTTGAAGGCTATTGCAAGGGACATAGCAGAACTTGGGTCAGCTAGTTTGGGTTTGAATCTTCAACGTCAGAGGTATAGCCTGGACAAGTAACTGCATATCTTTAAGCTCCAGTTTCCTTGGTTATAAAGTGGGAATATTAACAGTACCTTCTCTTCGGGGATGATCCAGATTGAAAAGAGACTATCGAAAGTACTTAGCTTGATGTCTAGAGAAGGGATTGTTGTCACAGTTCACATGATGAATGCAAGGAATGGCTTTGAGGTATCAGATCATTATTAGTTCATAGTGAAGAATATTTTCAAATGGAAAACATTATTACACAGATATTGAAGACAAAGACTGCCATTGATTGCATATTTAAAAGATTAATCACATATGTAGGTTAGCCAAATTATTGTTTATCATGTGGTGTTAATGAAGTTTCAAAGAAAGCTATGAACATATATTTATATGGGGATGCTGCAGTTGTTTAACTTAGCTTGCTTTTCCGCTGTCAGTTTCATTACTGTACTTGCCACTTTACTTTCCTTATCTTTGCTGGCTTTTCATCATCCTGGAAGAAAAGGAGATTTTGCTCCATCTTACTTGCCATGTTCAATGCCATAGAAACTCAGGTTTAGTTTAAATTAAGCCATTGGCCGCATTTGTCCCCCTCACTGATTTAGTCTTCCAAAACCAGTTCAGCCCTTGTACCTTGATGACATCAGGAGCTAATGTGGGGTGGGGGAGGGAAAGAAAGTGGGGAGAGAGGGGGAAAGGAAGAAGAGGAGAAAAGGGGGCTCTTGATAGGTTAGTTTTCAGAGTTCATGAGGCTGGATTTTACCAGCTCATTTAAGACTGTCTTACCATATGCCTGTTTCCAGTGTCAGCTCTTGGAATGGGCAAACTAATTTGTTTTATCTGTTGCTCTCAAACTG